TTAGGGTTTAGGGTTTAGGATAGGTCTGATGATCGTAAATGGGTCGCAGTTTTTGTTTGGGGAGGGGCAGGGGGGAGGCACAAGATTAGTTACAGGCATAGCGATGCGGGGATCGTATTTCTGTTTGTTCAGACCCCTGCTTTGCCAGTTTTTCGAGGCTTCACACGGGTTTATAAGTCGGCTCTTTCTAGGGTTCGCCCGTCCCTCATTTCGGATAGCCGGAACCCAACTTGGGTGCGCTCGCTGTGGACCTTGCCTCTTGTTGCGTTCACTTAACGAGACACTCAAATGAAAGAAAAAACCCTAAACCCTGAACTTTCTCTCCTTTCCAGCTTCTCACTCCGTCAGACTCTAAGCCAAGACACCCGAACACTTAAGAACCCTGCAAGCTGACCTGACAGGCGCCCCTCAACGAACTCCCCTAAATCCTAAACCCTAAACCAAGAGGCTCCATGCATACTACCATTATGGAAGTAGGTCCCCAAAACCATGATAAGCTTGGTCTTTTGGAGCCACAATGGTAGTACATGTCGACCCTTTGGGTAAACGCTCAACCCTTACACGAAACCTCAAAGGAGTGTTATGAATCCTCAAAGCCGAAGCCGCCCTCAGTCCAGAACCCCAACCCCTCAACCCCTAAACCCCTTAACCCTAAGCCCTAAGCCCTAAACCCTAAACCCCTCAACCCTAAGCCTAAACCCTAAGCTCTAACCCTTCAACCCTATAAGCCCTCAACCCTAAACCCTACTCTAAGCCTTCTCTTGCCAGGTCGAGGAGCTCGTTTTTTCCAAGCTTTCGTCATGGCAGCAGTCACCGGGACCTATCACCAAGCTCCTGCAACCCGACTGCACGGCTTTAGGGCTTTGGGATTTAGGGTTTTGGGATTTGGGGTTTGGGTGTTCAGGGCTTCCGGGTTTCTAGGTACTTCTGTTTTGGCAGCGGTCTGATTGTTGTGCAGGCACTCTCGACCAAACTAAGCCGCCGAATACTCGAATTTCGGTCATTCTTCAGTGACAGTATACATGAGACGTCGTGAAAGTGTTCGGCAATGTCATGACGGGTTATGTACGATTCTCCTGGGTCAGTGTTTCGATCGGTGGTTCAGCATATTCAGTGCCCAGCGCCGAGCCTTTCCTTGCTTTTTTGTTTTGTTTTGTTTTGTTGGTGTTTTTGTTTTGTGTGTGTGTGTGTATCGGGTTAATAGTGATTACAAACATGCCGCGGTTAAGACCCTAGCAAGAACATATAGGGGCCAGGCTTGAGGACATCCGGGATCCCGGGGCTTTGCGCGTCTTTACACTGCTGTCCATTTGAGAGAAGACTCCTTGGGTTCTCAATCGTAGGACGGGTGGCTCGATTTAGGGTTTAGGGTTCAGGACTACATCCGCAGCCGAAGCTGAGCCATAGGTTCCAGCACCATGGACCCAAAGTCGCAACAGCATCCTGCAAGTAACTGTAAAAAGTTGCGTGTATCTCTGGCCCCCCAATCCCTCACCAATAGTACGCTATGACCCCGTATAACCCTAGACCCTAAACCCTAGACCCTAAACCCTAAACCCATATGTGCAGGGCATGCCCCCCCGGCGAGGCTTAAATCTGTCAAGCCTTGAGCCCAAGTCGTCTAAAGCCTTGAAGCCAGCTTTGTAGTCGGTTCTTTTCCGACCCCTGCCGCTTCAGGGTTCAGGGTTTCGGGCTTAGGGTGTATTATAACAGCCACACCACTTTGTAAACATTTCATCTGGGTAGCCCGGCCCAAACCCTAAACCCGAAACCCTAAACCCTAAACCCTAAACAATAAAACCCTAAACCCTAAACCCTAAACCGTACAGTGGTTTGCAGATGATGCGAGGAAAGACTTGCGGAGCCAGAAGCGACCCGACTTGGTCTGCCAGCTGATGGAGGTCCGCCAAGCCTCCAAATCCCTAAGGGTCCATGTACCCAAATAGTATATACGTTGGCCTTAATGTAGTCCCTATATAGGTACTTTGGGGCCAATGTATGTACTATTTGGGTACATGGACCCTTAGGGAATGGTTTAGTGTTCAGGGTTTAAGGTTTACGGGGGTAGTGTGGGTTCGAAAACCTACTGGTTGAAGCCATTGGTATCATATCATATTCAGGGGTCATAACGTACTAACAATAAAAATCATAGTCGGAATATAGCGTACCATACTAGTCATAAGACTCATGCGAATAACAAATACTAGTGTTTTTTTTAAATAATGGTCTATATTAGAACTAATAAGAATAATAACCCCATCTGGCTGCAGGTTCTTCATGCAAATGGTCGGGTAAAGCTCGGACGAGCTCAATATTCCTCGGGTCTCAGCGCATGCGCTGCGGCAAACCAATGGCAACTGGCCCTGAACCTCTTCCACTCCATGCCAGGACTCTAAGGTTTCTCGTGCTTATGAGATTCGGTTTCGATCCGCAATAATTACTAACAGCCTCAACCCTGACATTGAACCTTGAACCCAAGAGCGCAAGGAGCCCATGTCGTAGCTGATGTCATCAGCTACAGTGCTACAATCAGCTCCTTTGAGAAAGCCGGCCAGTGGCAAATGGCGCTGGAACTTTTCAATGCCATGCCCAGCGCGACTCTAACGCCAGACGTCATCATCTACAACACCACCATCAGTTCTTGTGAGAAAGGTGGTCAATGGCAGCTAGCACTACATCTGTTCCACACCTTACCCACAGCAAAGCTCACCCCCGATGTCATCACCTACAACGCTGCCATTAGCTCCTGTGAGAAGAAGGGTCAGTGGCAGCTGGCCCTCCATCTCTTCCACACCATGCCATCAGCCTCGACACTTCGTTCTCCCACGCTTTTGTTGCGTACAGTTTTGGTTCTTATGCACGAAGACTTCATGAATCCGTTTTGTTATACATAATATAGAATAATCCAAACCGTTCTGATGTTGAAGTTCTTTTGTGGTTCCTTGCGAATTGGAGAAATGAGGATTGCTCCCAGCATTGTCAGCTACAGCGCTGCCATCAGCTCCTGCGACTGGGTTCGATTCTTATTCTTATGGTTTAGGGTTTAGGGTTTAGAGTTTAGGGGTTTAGGGTTTAGGGTTTAGGGTTTGTTACAGGGAATACACCCTGGTAAAAGTCATGAGACCATGTTGCCGAATTTACTTTAGACCTTAATGGTTCTGGTAGCTTACACAGCTTGAAGTCAGCCGTGCAAGGTATCTCAACTCCCTAACTACCATGGCCGCTTACTGAACCTGGAGTAGACAGGGCTTCTTTTTGTGGTCCTAAGGCTCCTTTATAAGACTACCGAATGCCAAAAAGGCAGCCCTTTTCATTCACCCTAAACCCGGAACCCCAAAGCCAAACCCCTATACCCCTAAACCCTAAACTCCTAAATCCTAGCCCCTACAAGCCCCTCAAACCCTAAACCCTAAAACCCTTAAACCTGAGACCCCTTAAGGCGAGGGAGATGGACAATGGCCACTGGCCTTGGAACTTTTCCGCTCGATCGCCGAGGCTCGGAAAAAAATTCAGACGAAGGCTTTAGGGGATTATAGGGGTTTAGGGTGTAAAGGTTTAGGGTTAAGGGTTTAGGGTTTAGGGGTTAACAGGTTAATAGGGGTTTAGGATTTAAAGGTTTAGGGGTTCAGGGTTTTAGGGTTTGGGGTTTATTCGGACCCTAAAGAGTCTACCTTGTTAGGGCTCCTTTCATGATCTCCGTATATGAGGCCTTTTAAACGGTAGGTGATTGAGAGTCCAGGTAGGGTTTGAGGTTAAGGTGTACGTTTAAGGTTTTTTGGTCATGTGGAGGTGGTTTAGGATATAGGATCAGGTAGTTTTCTGGTATAGCGGAACAAGAAAAGCTGTAATCTAACATTGGCGTGACCAAGTGGGCATGCAGTGGCGGAAGGCAGCAGACGAAGCCATCGCGAAAGAAAGCTGGCCAAACCCGAAGCCCCAGCACCCCAGTAGCGTAACAACCTAAGCCCTAAACCCTAAACCCTAAACCCTAAACCCAATCCCAAGCCTTGCATTGAACTTCCCGGAACCCTGGGCGCCTCTGGCTGGTTTGCAGGACAGACTGACTCCCAACATCGTCAGTCCCTTGGATCACAAAACAAAGTTACTACGTTGGCGGTATCCAGAAAGGGTTATACCCCCCATTTGAGGGGCCATAACACACTATTTTGTAGGGTTCGGGGATACAGGGATTTCATAGGACGCTAGGATGAGAGTTGGGAGCTTGGAGGCTTCGCATTCGGGTCTGACATGTCTTTGTGCGAGAGTTTTGCGACCGTTTAGGAATCCAGACATCGGAAACCTTGAGCCCTAATGCAGGGGCCTAAATGATTACCAATAATATTGTAAGGGCTCCTTATTATATAACTATAGCATAATATACCCAACACCCTGTTCAAATTATTAAGGCTCCTATATGAAACCCGAAACCGGAAACTCGGAGCTCTAAACAGCAAATCGGAAACCCTTCTCAGAGCGCCCAACCGAAGATGGAGCCGCAAGAACATGACAGGGCGGTTTAGGGCTTAGGGTTTGGGGCTTAGGGTTTATAAGGCTTTGGGTTTAGGGCTTTGGGCTTTGGGTTTAGGGTTTAGGGCTTAGGGTTTAGGGATGAGGGTTGATGGATTAGGGCTTAGGGTTGTGGACAGTGGGCCTTGCCACATTCAACTCCTACAAGCTGGATCTCTAAAGCCAGAGCCGAAATTGTCACCATGATCCTACAGGAAATGCTACACGCACCAATATAGTAGATAGTTTGCGACGACAAGACTATCCACAGGCTATGGCGCCTTAATCAACGCCTGCGGGAAGAGCGCAGAGTGGCGCTTGTCATTGCAGCTTCTGAGCTCTCTTCGTCTCGACCCTTGGGTCCTCTTGGTGGTGGGTCTGCCTTGTGTTTTTCTGGTATAAAATCTCAGGAGCCCAATAGGTAAACTTTAAACTTTTTTGGTATATTAAACCCTACAAAAAGAAAAGTTTAAACTTTTTTGGGCCAGGGTATTGGGCTTAAGGGAAATGGAAGGGTTTAAGATTTAGGGTTTACGGTTTAACCAGCCTGGTCATCTTGCGTGCAATCATGATTATCAACCTCATCGTCGTTAGCTACATCATCGTCGCCGCCATCATCAGCATGGTAATCATTAACGTCATCGTTATCAGCATCGTCACCATCAAAACCATCCTCAGGACCTTCAGCACCGCCACGGTTTGCCATCATCGCCGCCATCAGCATCATCATAGCATTCTTCCTCTTCTTTGCACCACTCTATCATGACCATTACCATGTACATCGTCATCGTCATTGCCGTTCTTATCAACATGATTACTCTGCAGGTAAGTCGCAGTCAGACAGCCTCCCCCTGGTAACCCTACCCTAAACCAAAACCCTAAACCCAAAACCCTAAACCCTATGCCCCTAGAACCCTATGCGCTAAACCCTATGCCCGATACCCTATACCCTAAACCCTAAACCGTAGTAACCCTGTTCCATGGTAGGCAGCAAGCTCAGGACGAGTTGTCGCCCAATGTCATCAGCTACAACGCGGCCATCAGCTCTTCGCCCCGGTGAAAGTCATTCCTTTGGGTTTTGGGTTTAGGGTTT